CACTAGAAAGGACTGATGGAGGCAGTTCAATGGAACCATTTATACAATGTGCAGCTGTCGTAAAAAAAAAAATAGCAAAAGATTAGAATGCCTGAGAGATGGGTTGATTGACATGAAATAATGCAGAGATTCTTAAATTGCCTTTATTTTAACAGTGGCACTGCCTGATCTGAAGCCCACATGCAGCACTGGTCACCCTCCCCTCCAAAAGATTGTAGAATTAGAATATTTCTGAGAAAGGTTGAATGACCAAAAGCCTGGGGAAATTTGTGCGACAAAACTGAAAAGACTGGAATTGTTACTTTTAGAGAGGCAGGGCATGATACAAGTAAAATAAAATAATGGTCCAAAGAAGATAGATTGGGAGGTCTTGTTCTCCTTGACGCAGAACCAAAGCATAATCAGTGAAATTAAAAGGTGGCAAATTCAAAATCAGTAATAGGAAATACCTTGCCACACAACAATGGATCATAGAGAATCATGCTGGCAGGGACCTTGAGAGACCACCAAGTCTGTAGCTGCCCTAAAGTAGGATTAACTTTACTTAAATGTGTCATGAGACCATAGACAGACAAGGTCATGAGACCATTGAACTCATTGTCACAGGAAGCCACTAAAAGCAATAACTCTACAAGATGCCAAAAACACACAGTACCTCTGCTCACGCCACAGTGTTCAGAGTTAGTGCAATTCTGAGTGTTACTTCTGACCCAGCACTGTGCAAGGGGTGTTAAAGTAGGTATGTCTACACGTTTGTGAATGTGCCTTTGCTACAGTGCATGAAGTTTAGTACCTCTAATATGAGGTACTAGATAAAGGCGCAGTAGCTACACTAATGTGCAGTAGCAAAGGTGAACTTTTTTGTGACGCTTAACGAGCAGTTCACTAATTCAACTGTGCATTAGCGCATTAGCACGGTTTTTGCCATGATGCACTATTGCGCAGTAGATCAGTCCACTGCGTATTAAGGTGTCTCATGTAGACACACACACCCTGCATTTTAGGATTCAATCAATCTCTACTTAAGACAGAAATGAAACACGGGGGCACGTGGCACGTGCTACAGCACTTCCCTCGGAAATATCTGGTCCTGGCACCTGTCCTAAGGCGCATCCATGCTCTGATCCTCTGGTCCCACCTTCCACCTGTGCCGGAAGGATTCTGGTCAGATCCCTCCTGTGCAAGAGTCTTTCCCGAAGGGGGAGAATAGGGAGGGGGTTTCATGAGCTGTTGTCGCTAGAGGGCTCTGGCTGTTGCTAAGGGAGGGGAGGCTGCTCTCTCTCTATTTTTGCTGCTCAGGATATCAGGGTTGAGCTTCCTGGGTCAGATGCTGCTGCTGCTGCCTCCTCCATTGTGATCTGAGAGCCTACACTGGGCAGCTGCTGCTCTCCCAGCTGGGGAAAGACCAGCACTGCAGCCCCTTGGTGCCCAGCCCAGGGGGGAGCCTTTCTCCGGTGCCTGGAACCAGGCCTCCAGGGCAGCCCCAGGCTCTGCCGACACCAGCTCCTGAACCAGAGACTCCAGGTAATAGAGAGAGACCTCGGGGAAGTGCTGGGGACAGGCAGGACAGGGGCTCTCTGCACACACAACCCCTTCCTACCTCCCTGTCTCTTGGCTGCGAGTCCCAGAGCAGCTGCCCTGCAGGGGGGGGCAGGACTGCAGCGCTGCCCAGGCCTGGTGCCAGTCCCCTGCAGCAGAGTGACCTGTATGCCCAAGCATGAGAGCTGGGCTAACGGGTGAATTCTTCAGCTCTGTCAGCCCTGACTCACCACTGTTCGGCTGTGTTCACCATTCTAAGCACTCTGCAATATTAATCCAAGAGCCTTTTGAATAATGCATTTGATGGATTGTGAATGCCTGTCTTCTTAAACAAGACATGGCCGTAAATCTGGAGCAGTGTGTGGGTGGGTTGGGGGGCAGGGGGGGTGTCTTTATTTCCTAGCCCTGCCTCAAAGCATTGTGACATAGAGCAAATCCCTTATACCTAAGATCTTTTAAAATGGGTAGGAATTTGGGTGCCCAGCTTGAGGTCCCCTCCACCCGCCAGCTGTGTTCAGATGTCTCAATTTTGACCTGGAATCAGCATTCAGAATCACTCGTCACCTTTGAGAGTGTTAGCCTTAATCTCTCTCTGGCAGCGTCTACATGTGCACCACACTGCACAGTTATTACTGCACAGTCTTTTAATATGTGCTTTAGCAACTATTACATGACTGCACCATGCGTGCTGGTACTACGCAGTCCCGGCTGCACACGGGTTGTTTCCGACCCTACTGTGCAGTAGCAGCGAGGTACTGCGCAGCAGTGCATTGCTACTGCGCAGTAGCAATGGCATCACAGTTAGTGCCCACCAGCGCTACCTGGCCGTACTGACAAGCTACGCACCTTGTGTAGATTCGCCCAGTGCCTCGGTTTTCCCCTGTAAAAGAGAAGAAATAATGGACTCATTTATTGGGAGCTGTGAGGATAAATCCAATCTGTAATTGTGAGGTGCTCAGGCGTTGCATTGCTGGATACCCTGTACGTATTGAGATACACAGAGCCTCGCCCAGGGCTAAGTGTGTGTAGTATGATACAAAACCCAGGGGCACCCCTGAATCACGTGGGGTGGCTCCCAAAGGCTTTGTTAGGAATCAAGTCCCAGTGGGTTTGATGGCCCTTGGAGCTGTAACCACTCAGGAAAAGACAAGCTTTTCTTTGAAAGGCCTTGTGATGAAGGAGTAGAAGCAAAACTATGTGTCCTATGGCCTGTAACTATTATTATTATTATTGACATCAGTTGCCAACATTCACAGTTCACAAGTATTATAAGGGATATCGGCTGCCCTGCCTCAGGGCACAAATCAGCCTCTGAGTGACTAGGCTTAGAAAGGAGGTGCCTGGATGAGCAGGTTATTTCATAAGTATCCTTTCCAGGACTCCTCCCTCCCTCCCTCCCTCCCCTGAAGTAGCTAATATTGGATGCTGAAGAGTCAATGAACCAGATTCCAGTACAGCTATGAAATAGAAATGCTGCCCTAGATATACTGCAGCAGCAGCAGGGCGTGGGTGGGGGATATCCCCAGGCCTGAGTAGCCAGATGTGGGGTGGTAGGTCCTGTCACTCTGTATTTTGAATAATGAACAGCACTGAGAGTTTTGCTCGATGTTCAAAGATGGTTTTTGAACATAAAACACAGCAAAGCACACTCTCCCTCTCTGCACAGGTCCTTAAGTGGCACTGGTCAGCATGGCCTCTGACCATTGTTCAGTGAATGGAAAACTGAGATTTCCTTGCGCAGCTCAAAACGATGGAGTGAGCAGTCCCTGCCTCTGCCCAGTCCCCACACTGCTGAGGGAACGTGCTGCTGCCCCATGGACTCTGTTGTTTTTACATGCTTGAAGGGGTTCAAACTGTCTTGGTGATTTCCATGCTTGTGCTATGGAAAAAACCCTAGGAAATTCTAAAATAAATTATCGACAAGTATTAAAAATTCCCATTCCTCTCTCTGAGGTCTCCTTTCTTCCGGTCTAGCACAGAGCAGTTGGACCAGAAGGGATCAGTGGGATTATTTAGTCTGACCTGCTGCATTGTATAAACTAGAGACCCTCACCTAGCAAAGCCAATATATTAACTGGCAACTGAGCTAGAGCAGAATTGTTTGGATGAGAGGCCCAGTCTGAATGTAAGTCCCCAGCATGGACAGACTTTCTGTGTGACCGTGGGAAGGCTTCTTGACCTAGCCTCAGTCTCCAGTCTGTGCAAATGAGATGATAACATTTCTACCGTAAAAGGATACATTCATTGGAGATTGTCAGGCAATGTGGCACTTTGGTGACAAGGGACCTGTGGGGCTCTAAGCTAAGCGGAGAGTTGGTATAAACCAATAATCTGGGGATTTCCCTGGAAGGGATGACACCTGGGTACCTGTCCCGGCTCTGCCACTGACCTCTTGTCTGATTTCAAGTCCCCTCCCTTTTGATACTCCTCACACCTGTCTTATTTATTGAGTCCTTAGGCTTTGTGAGGGGAGGCAGTAACTTTTATTGGACAAACCTGTATAGCTGGGAGATGTCAGACACCCTCCAGATATCAAATGCCCTTCCTCAGCTTTGGTAAAGAAGCAGTTACAGTCCTAGCTCAGTACAAGTTAGAACAATTCCTTTAGTCTAACCTAATTCTGTTAATTAATTTGATCACTTCAAAGGGAAGGGGACAGAAAGGAGTAGAAATTGCCACAAGTGAGCAAATTCATTCTGGAGCCTACCCATTGCTTAGTTTCACCAACAGAGTTTCTGTGAGTGCATCTGTTGCATTAGATGAGGTATACCACGTTTTGTGATAGGTATGCGTAGAAACCATGAATTCTAATGATTTTGTTATGTTTTTGAGGTCGTAGGAGCAGGGTCTGTCATAACAGTAATGCTTTGAAACCTGTTATGCTCAGTGCTGCACTAACAGAGCAGTGGACAGTAAATCTGGAAAACTGAGGGGCAACCACGGACACTCACGTTTAAGAAAGATGAAGCAGGGCAGATCAGGGCTGCCAGGATGATCAGAGGCATGAAGAACCTGTTCTAGGAGGAGACTGGAAAAGCCTGGCACTCTTAGTCTGGCCAAAGAAAGGCTAAGAGGAGGTATGAGACATAGCACAGGGAGAAAAAGAACTATTAAGACTAATGTGAGTCCAAGAAGAGATGGGTGCACCTGGGCCATGATTACATTTAGGGTGACAACCAGGAGCAGGTTTCTAACTATCAGAGCAGTGAGGTGCTGAAGAAGTTTGTCAGAGGAAAGGTGGTCCCCAAAAAACCTCACCAGCTGGGAGTTGGGCCTGATTAGTGTAGGGTCAAGGCTGTATGATGTGGCTGCCTGCGATAGCCAGGGACCGGACTTGAGGACCAAGGAGATCCCTTCCAGCCCTCGACCCCCCTGTCCTCGCCATAACAGCTGATCTCTGGGCTCCTTCTCTGTTCCAGCAGAAGACAACACTGCGAGGGAGTGCAAGAAGGTGAAACATTCTCCAGACTGCGCATTTGCCCAAGATGTCTCCCAAAAAGTCCAAGGCCAACATGGCCAAGAACCTAGAGAAGAAGAAGCCCACCAAAAACAAGCGCAAGTCGGAGAAGCCAAAGCGGAGTCCTCCGGAGGAGGAGACGATTGTCTACCAGCCACCCCCGAAGGGCGACCGGCCCAACCTTTGCTCAGAGTGTGGCAAGAGCTTCCTGCACAGCTCGGACCTGGTGAACCACCAGCGCATCCACACGGGGGACAAGCCCTTCATCTGCACGGACTGCGGGAAGAGTTTTCGGCAGAGCTCCACCCTCATCACCCACCAGCGCATCCACACGGGTGAGACGCCCTACGAGTGCAGCTACTGCGGGAAGAGCTTCCGCGTCAGCTCCAACTTTGTGCGGCATCAGCGCATCCACACAGGCGAGAAGCCCTACAAGTGCCCCATCTGTGGGAAGAGCTTCACTGACAAGTCCACCCTCACCCAGCACCAGCGCACCCACACAGGTGAGAAGCCCTACAAGTGTGCTGACTGTGGCAAGAGCTTCAGCCGCAGCTCCCACCGCAAGCGGCACCTGCGTAACCCACCCGCCAAGGGCCGGGGCAAGTGCATGCACCGTGGCACAGAGGGCACCCCACCCAAGCCTAAGGAGATCAAGGTGAAGAAGAAAACCCCCACCCTGGAGGTCCCCAACACATGCGCAGAGTGCTGGCAGACCTTCACCCAGAACTCGGACCTGGTCAAGCACATGCGCATCCACACGGGCGAGAAGCCCTTCACGTGCACCCACTGTGGCAAGCGCTTCAGCGTCAGCTCCAACCTGACTCGGCACCAGCGCATCCACACAGGTGAGAAGCCCTACAAGTGCCCCGACTGCGGGAAGTGCTTCACCGACAAGTCTACCCTTACGCAACATCAGCGCATCCACACTGGGGAGAAGCCCTACATCTGCATTTATTGTGGGAAGAGCTTCAGTCGCAGTTCCCACCACAAAAGACACGAGAGGACCCACTCAGGAGAGAACAATGACACCTTCCTGCCCCTGTGGCACTACCCCACTCCAACCTTTTGAATCATCCATTCCCTGCAGCGAGGGACCCCCAGGAGCTGGGGGCAGGGAACTGTGTGATTGCTAGGGCATGGGGCAGAGAGGAGCAAGCAGGAGGTAGCAGGGTGACCTAGGGGGAGTGCAGCTGGCTTCTGGGAGAAACACTTGTTGAGAAGACTGGGTAGAAGGATATGTGGTGGCTCAAGGAATGTGGGTGCGCATTTTAACCGGTGTGCATGCACATGTGTGTTGTACGGGTGCATGTGCCTGTATCATTGAGTGTGTGCGCAGTTGTTTGCTTGTTACTTTGGGGTTTCCTACAGCTTGGCTCTCTTTCTCATGCATACCTTGCTCCTCACCTTAAGCCAGCACTGATGGCAGCTGTAGATTACAATCACACCCTCTTCAAGGACCCTGTTTGTCAGAGCTCACTGTAACTGAGAATCAGGGGCCTTCTGTCATGCCACATCTGCAGCACAGCAGGGGGCTACATCACAAAAACAGCCCCAGCTGTGGCACCTTCACTGGGCCTTTCATAGAGAGTGCTAGCTGGAAGGCTGAGTTGAACCTGGACCATGGGCTGAGCTCCTTTCTCCTTAGAACTGATTTCTCCATGGCAGAAGGAGGGGAAGAAGGCAGCACTGCTCAGCGATGTACGTGTGAGAGTGTGTGTGTGTGTGTGTGCACATGTTGTCTACATTACTCCTGCTTCTGTAGGGCCGTGGAGCTGACTCCTTTCCCAGCACTGAGCTCTGTCTCTCTCATACATCATTATTTAGACTCGAAGCTAGCAGCTGATGGGTTTCGAAAAGCAGGGGTTGTTGCTCTTGCTTCACTCTGTAAATAACCTCTATGCCCACTGACACATATAGTTGTGATCCCAGATCTGGCCATGAGAGTAAAGGGGGAACCCTCACTCCTCCCCTGCGCATGCATGGCGTGGGGACAGAACTGTGCCTGATGGGAACAAATCACCATGAACAAAATATTGAAACCAAAAATAAAAGTAACCCATGAGCTCCAGTTTGTCTCAGAGCTGGATCTCCCGCTAGTGAGGGGCTGGAATTGGAGGTTGGGAGGAGACAGGTGCTGTGGATTGAGTTAGATTACCCCCAGTCTCTCCCACCCACCCATCACCATTGCCCCTTCACCTGTCACCACACCCAACTCATTCACAATGGTCCCTGCCCATTTGGGTCTAGAAGGAGTAGCTGTGAGCCACCTTGTCTTTGCTGCCGTGGCTCCAGCTGGCCATGGCTTCATCTGGAGCTTGTTCTTCTCCCTGTCCCATGGGATTGAATCAAGTCTGGGGGATTCCCAGACACACCAGCAGAATGCAAGAGCCTTGGCTGCGGGTGAGCCTTGGAGGTCACTCAGAGCCAGAGGGGCTGAATGCATGGACATCCCAGCTGGACAGCAGCCTGTCTCCTTCCTGGCAGCCTCTCCAGCCTGGAAGGCAGAAGCCCAGTGACAGCTGTGGCAAAGACAAACCATGCAAAGAGCAGACTTAGAGGCCTTGAACTAGCCTGGCCAGACTTCAGCCCTGGTCTTTGACAGGGCACTTTTTAGCTTCTTCATGTAAGAAACCCATGGTGATCCCAGAAGAGTGGGGCCAGCTGTGGGCTCCTTTTGCTGCTCTCTCTAGGCCTTTCCTGAATGTCTCCCTTCACTCACCCAGGCAAAGAGCAGCTATAGATGAACACCTCTGGGCTGTGTTCCAGTGAGATCCACCGAGCCGAAGAACCTGGGACACTGTCAGTGTGAGGAAGGTGGCGCTGCAGGGAATGTCGACGGTGGCTCCGTGCTGGCGCTGTGCTGACCCCAGTGCACCTATGGGCACTGCAAATCTGGAGGTTCTCAGTGGGGTGGAGCAGTAACCTCATGTGAGCAGCACTTTGTGGAAGGACTGAAGCAACTGCCTTCTGCCTCTGAAGAGTACCTGCAGCAGGGCTAGCCAACCAGAATGGGATTCTCCTTCATGTCCTGTCCCAAACTCCTGTGCACCACTGCTGTATGCAGTGGGACTGTGGTCCACTCCAGCCATAACTGCTGGCCAGCGCCGCTGGGTGGAAGATGATGTTAAACAAGCCTGGCTGTGGATACCATTTATTTCACAGAGTTCACTGGATTTCTTTTTTCTGTTAGCAAATTTCCTGCAAGCCAGTGTTCGTTGATAAGAAAATGTCTGTTATTTGAAATCATTTGAGTAGTTTTTCTGAACAGACTTGAAATAGGGATTGTTCACAAAATGTAGCAAGTATTTTGTCAACTATTCAGTATTTGTGATTTGCTGTTTGACCTGTGCTATCTGTCCATCTGTCTGCCGTCCTACCCACCTATCTGTCCATTCATCCCAAAACACACCTCTTTTTGTTAGTGTGTATGTCTATTCCCGTATGGCCCCCTTCTCTTCTATGTGTCTATTCCTGGATGTATCTTTCTGTCCATCCATCCATTCATCTCTATCTATCTATCTATCTATCTATTATGGACTTCATCACCTTAGTATGTCAGCAGCTACATAGTATTATGACAAGGACTGTTACATGGTTTAGATTCTGTTGCCTGATTGGAGGATCTAACCTTTAAAAACTCTTCCCCTCCCCAATTATTTTTTTTGTCACAACACACATTTTGTTCCTTGTTAATCAAATGGTCACTGAACACCCACATGAACAAAACGTTGTACAAATGGTCACAAAGAACAACAGGACATGAACAAACCAGTCTCTGAAACCCTGGTTTTCATCTTGCCAAATTGCTTACCTATGGGCTTTTATGTTATTCAGTCTGCTTTTCTGTCCACTTTCAAAAGCTTGTTACTATTATAAGACAAAGTAAAATATATAAAAAAATGGTTGAAACCACTGGGGTGGCAGCTAATAAAACTCAGACTGTTTTGAAATAAAATACCAGCTCTTATCACCTTGCTGGGGGCTTCAAGAACTATGGAACTGAAGACTTCAGAACAGGAACTGGCAGACTGAACCAGATACATGGCCCTCTTACCCCAGGGCCCCATCTCTGACAGTGGCAAGTGCTAGGTGCTTAACAGCAAAGGGCCAAAAACCCTTTCATAACGATGATGAGGTAACCTGCCCATAGGAGAAGTTCCTTCTGGGACACCACAGAAATTACAGAACTTTTTTTGCAGGAGCATCTCATCTCCATGGGCTTCTCTGGCCCTTCCTCCTGGTAAGCTGGATAATGAAACTGCTTTACTGTGAAAGAAAAAGGTGAAGGTTTCACTAAAATTGGATTCTTCTGGCAAAGAAAGAGAGTATAACACATGCTATTGCGTTGTGACATAAAAGCTGGGAATTGCCAAGAGGCATCTAACTCCCTTAAGAATCTAAAAACCAGCTCCTAAATAGAAACATGATGTCAGTAGATCTCAAAGAGCTCAGAATCAAGATCCACAGTTTAGAAAGGGAAAGCGTGACTTGCCCCATGTCACCCAGCAGGCCAAGGTGTCCTTTTTCCAAAAAAAAAAAAGAGAAGCAAATACTGCCATAGTTTTTTTTTTGGTTCTCTTTTCACCTCTGCTTTGCTCATTATAGAACCATAGAAAAGTAGGACTGGAAGGGATTTCAGGAAGTCATCAAGTCTAACCCTGTACTCAAAGCAGAATCATCTCTAAAGCATCCTAAATAAGTGGTTGTCTAACTTATTCTTAAAAACCCTGTGAACAACCCTCATAAACAAGGGTTAGAGTGTTGTTCTGTCCACGATGGTCCAGGAAATACATGAAAAGCATGTTTTTTTTAGTGATACCTTTCATTGGACTAACTGTATTAGGCAGATGGTCCAACAAATGATATTATCAAAACCCTCTTGCTATACATCAGGAGCAGGTTTGCAGCTGGTCTGGACAGGAACTGCTATTAAGTATATGTTTATATAGCATGTGCCTCCACACTTGATCTGGTTAATGTCTCTGTGCATGTCCACAGGGCAAATATTAGCAAGAATCCCAGAGAAATGTCCTTTCTATTACCAAGTAACCTCACATATTCTGAATATGCCATGTTCTCCGGGGGGGGGCGGAGTTTAAGATTATTCTAATTACTACTTTTTTAAAAGAGAAAATTGTCGCCAGCACAAATTACTTTCTAACACAACTAGGCAACAAATTTAAAACAGTGAAGGAATAAAGTAGCGCAGAGTCTTGGTTAGGACTCCCAACCAGCGAGAAATTGTGATAAAAGATATAATCTTGTTTTAATCATTTAACCTATTTGTTCAGGTTGTTCAGAGGAAACAGTTTCCCTCTTCCTGTTAATATTTCAGGGCTACTCTTTATTTTCATCAATTCTATTTGCTCTTGCTGAGGGACATTGATTGGCAAAAGCCACAGGAATCCTAAATACATTTCCATTGTCATAAAGAAGGTCATTTCCTTAAAACTACAGTATTAGGAACTGGAGGAAGGTTTGCAGCACTTTTCTAATTTCAGGTCAGGAGTGTTTCACTCTGAGGCAATTCAAGAAGAATTGGAGATACTGCACCCAAATCCCTTGTCATCCCTTCACCTTATGACTGTGAATTTTCTCTCTGCTTCGTTTTGGAAGGACGAGGTGTGAAAATCTCAATCCGAGTTTTCCTACTGGTATTCTCTCCAAGAGGAGAAGTTTGTGATTCTCTCAGTAGCCGACATTATCTCTTTCCAGTTATGTAAAGAGATTTGCTGGCTCTGTTTGTTTTTCCAATCTGACCTCATATTTTTAGATCCCTGTAGTTCTAAAGGAACAAGTTTGAACAAGTTCAAGCAATTTGGCTTCATTTTCTTTTAACTAGAGACTTGGATATCTTGTGATTTCCTTATGCAGCTTTTCCCACTGGGTATTCCACTGGCGAATTTTCCCTCTCCCCAGGTTTTTTGATTTTGTAAATAATAAATTATATATAAAATACCTGGTTTGGGACTTTTAGAGCTCTCTTTTAAAAAAAAAAGATTTTTTAAAGCAAGTGTATCATTGTTATTTTTAATATTTGTCATATGCCTTAGTACCA